ATATAAATACATAATACAAACATAAAGGGAATGTATTTTCAAATATAAAATTTCCAAGCTTTGTGGTTAAAGAAATGCGTTGGTAAGTCAATCAACCAGACGGTATAAGTCTATTTAATAAAATTGATATAAAACGACACAAGCAATAACATAAATATCTTTGTATATGAAATTGTTAATGCTAAATTATAAGTTAAGTTAAGAATAGTTTAAGGATCAAAATGTTATAGGTAACTGTAGGGATATAAAGAGTAGACTAAAATAGGTAATAAAGATTAATATGTACAGTAGGTTTCTTTAGTAAGTAGTAAGTTTAATAAATATGTTTTTATGGACATATGGTAGTTTATTAAAAAATAAGTTTTATATTCTTATTCTACATAGACATCAAATTTTTATACAAATCAGTGTACTTGTATCGAATTGGTACTTCATTACTTGGGCATATGTAGGTATATTTATGTTTCTTCAGTGCGTCGTGTGAGGCCCATCAACGCATAGTTTCAGCGACGCGGTCGTCTTTGCAGTGTAATGATGCCTGAAGCGTGTGCACGCCGATTTCAGTGCGTTTCACGCCTTTTTTTATATAGCTACAGACGCATTATGTGTATTTTTAATTGTTCGTGAAGTGTCAACATTATGTTTAATTAGCTTTATTATTTAAGGTTTAAGTTTTTTATTAAGGATTTTTATTTTACAAGACACTAATTATTTATGGATGTGTTTGAAAAATAAAAAAACTGCTGGTGGTTTTTTAAAAGAAAATTTTTATAATCAATAAGAAATAAAAATAGAAATCATCAGCTCTATTGATATGAATATTTTAATTATTTTAGAATTATCTATTTCTGAAAAGGAATCAAGAAACACATTGATAATATTAAGATAGGTAATATTACTGTCAAAGTTATGTATACATGATAGTAGTAGTATGATAATAAGAACCAGTCAAAGAGGAGAATAACTTATTGTGTAACTATTTTAATAAATACTGTTACCCCAAGAAACACTTTGTTAATTTAAATACTGAGTAAACCAAAGTTTCCTCTCCAATGAAGATTATGTACCTTAAACGGGTCAACAAATTAAGGGTTTTGTAAGCCACAAGACCAGTGAGCCGTTGGTTGGTTTTTAATTAAAACGTTTGAAACTTAACTCAAGGTTATATTGTTAATGAATCGACGATTTCTGTTTGTTTCGATACAGCATTGTATCGTACCCAAATTGTAAGGGCTGTGTACATACAACTTCATTAACGAACTTTCAGAAATGTTCTTAAATATGTTTACTTTACACCAGAACGTTTAAAGTTATACATAGGAAAGTAATCAACAATTTATTGTGATAATTATTTTTAGCAATACAAATAATAGCACCAAGAAAATGAAGAAAGATTCCTATTAGGTATATATATAATTATTTGTATACTTCGGTTGCTTTGATTTTCATAGTTTTAAACACCATATCATCAAATATATTAATTGTAGGTACTTGTTACGTGTTAATACCAGTAGTATTGAAATAAAAAGTAGGGTTATATATTTTTCTACCGTATAGCACACGTCTACTAATTATATTTTACAATTATTGCTTTAGACGTTATGGTGACTAGACTGTTAAACAATAATTTACTGTTACATTAATTACTAGTGAAGATTAGTAAGAATTATTACTATTATGTCTATCGATATGATATTAATTTGGTACAGGAAAGTGTTCTGAATGATTAAGTATCACGGATATTACAAAAACTACTCTTAAATTCTAGAAGCCTTTAGTCTTTTGGAGTTCGGGAAGGGAAGGGAAGGTAGAAAAAGGAAGGCTAGTATTGAATTGAAGCTCACGTCTCATATATGCAAACTATAGAAAAAAGTATAATAGTCAATGCATTTTATTAAATGAAACATCAATCATAAAAGTAATCGTGTTCTAATACAAAACTAATTCATGTTAGAATTTAAAATAGGGATTTGTGCTAAGCATCGCAACGTGTGTGAGCACGTATCACCCCTTTTAATATATCTGTAGGTATACTTTGTCCAAATCTATTCGTTTGCTACTTGCTTATGCCTCAGCATGTTTTTAAATAAAATGATCACATCATTTTAATTACATATTTAATTACAAATTTTAACATTTAAATTATAATAGTGAATTTTAGATTAAGTCTATATATTTCAAAACAAAACTTAATTTTATACAGTTTTATTGTTATTTTACATATTCATGTTAATAATTGGTAATTAATAATATTTTTTTTCTTTATTTATTTTAAATTTAAACCTAAAATTAATTGACATTGTAATTTGTGTAAGAAATTATGTTAAATTTACAATTTTATTTCAAAATACATAATATTACATTAATGTAAAATATTAAATTTAGTAGATTAATTTGAATGTTTATTAGTTCATTTTACTCAAATATGGCGATTAGGACGTCTGAGTTTTAACAGAATGGTTTTATTGAAAAATGATATAAGACAATAAATGAATAATCTGTCACAAGCAATATAATGGACATACGGTAGTAATAATATAGGCTAGTGCAGTGCTAGTATATACCAATACAAAAAATATTGCTTTATGTATTCTATAGTATAACTCCAACTTGATGAACCTGTAGAACATTGCATATATGCACATTGCATATATAAAAACGTTGACTGTTTACAGTCATTATATCTATACCTATAATGGCGGTTCTATATAGCGTGAGCCTTAAGAAATACGGCCTTGGCAAACATCTAAATACGTAGTGTTGACACGTTCACTAATTAATGACAAACTCAGCTAAAACAAGCGATTTAATTGTCCACTCTCACTTTTTACTGCGACTGTACTGCAAAAGGTAGTGTTTCACAATTGCATTTGAAACTATTGCAACATTTGTGAGAAGCAGAAAAAATGTAATTTATGTGCTCCCTAAGTAGAACTGTGTAAATGAAACGAGTAATTCATTAAATTCCGTTAAAACAAATCAGACCGATAGTGTTATAGTAAACAAAAATATCCTGTTCATGTCTTTTATATAAGTTATAGTAATTAATGAATAACTTATTTTATAGTAAGTACTAACTTAGTTCGTTAGTACTACTACTTAGGAAAACAGGATGAAGTATCTACAAAAAATATTTAAAAAAGGACATGATATTACGTTTTTGTACGTGCATGTTACTTTAACTATAATTACGTATAGGTACTACTTTCATTGTAATGAAATAGTATGCTAAAAATAAATTAAGGTAGTATTTTACAGTTAAACAGTTGATGAAATTTATTTGTAATCTATGTCAGAAAATTATTTAAATATTTTATTTGTATACTTTATTGCATTGTGTTTGTATACAGAAACAATACAACATATTTAAATGGACTTCTACAATATACCGCTTATCGCTAAGTAATTTCATCTAGACAACCTTTAGGTGGAAGAAAAAGTATGAGAGGAAGAGTTGCTGGTGCACATAACAACACTGATAACATATGGAATGAAAATAATAATATATACATACCAACGTAAATATAATATCCTACATAAATTTAATAGTACCTACACATATTCCATGGAGATATTTAAGGAAAGAAAGGAGCAATGATAAAAGGAAAGCTAGAGCTTAAAGGGACAGGAAATGGGATTTGACTGACACTATAAAGCTATCAAGTGATTGAAGGCACCGAATAGGAGTGGGAAGTCAGTTCCATAATCTAGTTGCGTGAACAGTAAAGGATTTTGAGTGATAAGGAAATCTAAGACAGACATAGTTTACGCTACGCAAGGAATGGCTACTGACTGCCATCACTGAGAAATATGAAGCATTTATTTAGTTAATCAAGGGTATTTCAGCTGTGAGAATGAATATTTAGGCTAGACAGGTGAATAGATACCTATTAAACGGAAAAGGTTGCATAGCTATTTTATGATATTCGGCAGTATTCAATTTGTGTTCTATAGTTTTGTACTTTACAGGTAGAGTATTAACAGTAGTATTGTCTTGATCTCTTTATTTTATATTTAGTTTAGTTTATATTTAACAGTCTTATTTTATACAAAAGAAAGTAAATAAAAACACCCATACTGTTTGATTTAACTTTATTTTATATCTCGACATTTATAGAGCTCTCATTTTTTTAAACATTATGTAAGAAGATGCTAAAAGAATAACTTTTGTATTATTTTGTGAACAATGATTGTTGAATCCTTTTCGGTACGTATAAAAATATAATATAGTAAATATGGCATGCCTAACTACTTGTTTCTCTATATGCTAATTATGCAAATTAGATAAAATAGAGTATCTAACAAGTAGGAAAATAGAAAAAAAAATAATTTACATAAAAACTAAGTATAGTTATATTCAAAATTAAATATTATGGTGACGAATATTGGAAATAAAATTTGTATTGTACAAGAATGGAGAGCGACATTGCAATTAACTCATACAAGCACGCTATTTCGTTTTCCGTAGTGTGCTGTCACAAACTCCGCCCCAAAACAAATTTGTCCAATCACTGCCTGCTGCTCCATAGATCGTGGTGGCAACACGCCTCATGTTTTTCGTCACGGCACAGCGACTCAGGCGCGACTCACACATTGTTAATGCAAACGTTCTCCACTTTGAAAAGATACCGGATTCGAACCTTCGTGCTATCTCTTTTTCACACCGGTCGAACTGGATCCTCTATCGATTGAGAAAAATACAATACAAACTGTTAAAAAATAAATATTATGTAGTAAAAATCATTATTGATCTGAGTAAACCTGAAAAGTAGAGAATTTTGAGAAGAAGTTATAAATTTCTATGCTTTTCTGAAATATTTTGGTACCGGTGACCCAGTATCCGCAGTCAACAGTAGGGTGTGTGAAGGAGACAAAGAATCAGGTGGTATGGTCTCGAAGGCTGCGGAGGCGGCCAGTTTGACCATTTTTTGTTGGACCGCTGATTGTGAAAGATTACACTTGAGAGTCGAAATACATCTTTACATCACACGTCAGTGGCCACTGAGCTGTCTTCAAAGTAACACGGATTAGACACACGCAGTTTCTTTTAACGTAATTATGCCTGCGTGTAACCTGTGATAGTGAAAGACTGAAACAGTGATCTCTGTAAACTCTATATGTGTATGAACTAATTTCGTGTTTGGAGCTGCGTGTATTGCACAATTAGTTGTTACTGTAATTTCAATGGCGGTTTCAACATTGAATATGACACCATACTTCACAGGATATTCCTTTCAAGGTATGTTTTCAGTAATTCTTATTTGTTTTCTTTCTATATAACTTATGTAAATAAACTTTTTAGGTTTATTTTTAAATCAATTATTGAATGCGCATACACAATTTGTAACATGTAATCAATTACTTTCTTTATATTTGCTTGCAATTCTATAAAGTCCAATTCAACATACTGTCATTGAGGCATCATATAATATTACTTTATTAAAGCTCTATATTTATATAAGTTTGACTGATTTGACCTATATTTATTTTTATGTTTGTACACATTTAGTTTCTTTAGTTCATTAAGTATCTGCCTATTATTATCTATAGGTACCTATATTACCTTAGTGTACATAGTAGTTTTATTCGATCTTAAAAATATGGGTCACTGGGTATCCTAGGTTCATAGTTTGATTAACGTTTGTATTAATATGTTATTATAACTGTAGGTGTCCTGGTTATTAGTAAGTTAATAATCCATATTAAAATGAATAAAGTTATCTGTTTAAACTCAATTTTTGAAATTTGTATTCGTGAATTTCTTTTATCACCTATTACGAAAAGTACTACCTATACATAGTTAGTGTCATCAAGAAGATAGGGTAAGAAACTCGATTGTTGTACTTCTATAAGTATAAAACAATGTCGTTGCCGCTGTCTGTTCGCTTATTCAAATTCAAATTCAAAATATCTTTATTCATGTAGGTCTATTACAGACTCTTATGATATGTCAAATCTACCATCAGTTCGGAATGATATCGAGATGAGAAGAACTGACAAGAAACTCAGCTCGTATTTTTTTCAAATAATAGTGGAATATAAACATATTTAGTAAATGTACTCAAGTGTAGTTATAAACATAACAATACACAGTCATTAAAATTCAAATTTGGGAGAATAGAGTGACCACCAGCATATGCTATCGCAAAGAACAAAAAATTTAATCAGTGTTCACAACCTAAATAGACCAGTCCCCACAAGCAGCACCCATTCACGAGTATGACGTATGATCCATCATTGCACTCAACCATATTTGAGAGAGCACGTCTTATATCTTTTAAATTACGCAATGCATTTTAATGCAGTTTTCAGCAATAGATAGACTGATTCAAGAGAAAGGTCTGTACTACAATAAACACGTATATGGAACAAGCAGAGAAATTTAAAATTTGTAATGCATCTGCGCGAAGCCGGGGCGAGTCGCTAGTTATATTATAAACTAGAATTTCTCTAGTAACTATGGACTTTGCATAAATGTTGGTAAATAGGATTTTTATGTCTATAATCCCGTTTGATATATATATGGACTATTAACACAGCGCCAACTAGTCCCACGGTAAGCAGAGCTTGTATTATGGGTACTAGACAACTGATATTAATATGTACTTAAATATTTTTTTTATAAATACATATATAATATACATAGAAAATACCCAGACCAATAGGTACAAACAATCATACTCATGAATACAAATGTTTGCATTGGAACCCGCGATTATCGGAAGTAAGGTTAAACCGCTAGACCACCGAGACTGTCATATAAACATACAAAATGAGATTCATTAAGAAAATATATATCGAAGTAACTAGAGCAGACTTAATTTCTACAAGTAGCACCCGACTGTAACGGATGATCAAGCCGTCATTGCGTCAAGCTATATTTTACAGAATCCGACAACCTGACACATTACGCCACCACCTGTCTGGACATTTTAGTTCATAGCTGAAGAAACTTTAACGTGTACAGTATACTTGTATTATATACGTGCTTAATATAGTAACTTCATCTTAGTAAGAGGTATACGTAGTTTTTATGTATATATATACTTCACAAGAATAAAGATAGGAAGACAAGGACTAGAAATATATTTATAATTTTTCAACATTTAATTGCTTAACGTGGAAAGCAGAAATACACCTAAAAACAAACTATAAATTAGATCAACAAAAAAACTATCATGTATAACTTTTCTCGGATCACTCAATCTTTAGGTAACAAACGATTAGTAACTAAATCAGGGAAAGATATTTTTAAATGACGTACTAATAAACTTAAATGGGCATTTTTTTAACCCAAAAGTCCCGAAACGATCATAAAACTATAAAATCACGATGAAATTATAATGCAAAAGGAGCCTTTTATAGCTACCAATATAACAATATATCATCCTCACGCTACGGGACTCAAACATATAAAAAAATGTGTACATTTTGTTCATAACAGATCCTTGTGTATCCCGAGCATTGTGAAATGGTCAAGGATCTAACAGAAAGTGATTTGTCCTTGTTTCAATAAGGAATTTCTGTCACGACTCGCCTATTGTACTATTAAAGTTGCTCTTCAAATGATCTTGATCTTAATTTTTGTAGAATACTGTTATTAATGGTAATTATTTGACAAGACTGTATTGTTTAGGTTTTTGTCGATTTGTATAGTAATGTTATATTTTTATTTAGCATTAAAGAATTTATTTTTCTATAAATGGATAATATTACGATAATATTCGTACCAGTATATTTACCCACGGCAAGTAAGCACTTACAAACAAAAATACAGAATAAAATACCTTTTTTAAAATAAGATTAAACTACAAATGGAATTTATATTACCTACAGTAGGTAATATAAATTCTTTCCTCATGCATGATCTAAAAAAGGTATTGTGTAAGATATTAAAGAATTATTTACTGTTTAAAAAAATTAAACATTGGGCAATATTAGTTAAAAAAGGCCTAAACAATAAACATACAAAAATACGTTGTACGTTTACATTTGTTGATCATACATGTGATTTCTAGTTTAAGGAATGTATTAGACATAATAGAAGTACCTATACTTTATTGGGTGATGACAAATAGAAACAAAGCCGCAGTCGGAGAGTGTCGTGGCCTAGTAGTTTAATATTCAGACTTAAATTATGGTATGATCGTAATTAAATATTTCACAGACAGTAAAAAATATTTTGCGCTATTGACTGACTCACTGGTGATAGAAACATGCAAACCAAATTTAATCGAGAGACGGCGGTATACTGTACCGATGTTTGTCTTTAGAATGTCTTTAACTACCTCACCAGTAATAACAGTCGTGAAGGTATATTTCAATATATGTATAGCCGAGCTTCTTGGCCGTTCTCTTCAGATGAAACTTCTATAAAACAACTAACAGAATAGATAACTAATAAAAAATAATACAAGTACAATAAAAGTGTATTACAACAGGCGGTTTTGTCCCCTATAACAATCCCTTATTAACAACTAACAAATCTATATAAAAATGACGTAGAAATTTAATTAATAATATTTTATATTACTGGTAAACTTTGTTTTCTTATGAATCTACGTCTAGTCTAAATACGACTAAAATAAATCACATACTATTGTCAAGACTGTGTTGTCTTGCTAGATTTCTTTGTGTACCTTAATTTTCTAAAGAAATTATGACCCATAATAAAAATATAGAATAACTTTTGTTTTCAAACTATCGCCTCTCTGTCTTCGCACTCTATTACGGACGACATTTTTTTGTGTTGTAATAGTCCCACGATACGTCTTAACTGTTAGGCATTACTTCTGTTCATGTTGAGTTAACATATAATATTTAGTAACAAAGAACCATGTAGATAATTATAATAATAACATAAAAAACAATATGTTAATAATAAAATGCAATACGGTCATAGCGCTATAAATAATAATAAATATTACATAACGATAAAAACGAAATATAACGATGGAGGACCTACATTTGTAAGCCGATCAATGTACTGTTAATTTGAAAATCCATTGTTTTCCCAGCGGCTGAACTTTGAGTATTTATTTCAAAGGTTTGCCGTGAATAAATAAAACCGAATGCAGCACCAAAAACCTTACGTACTGACGGTTTTACACATAAATCATTACCATACGAAAACATTTCGAATGCATTGTTGAAAATGTCATTTCAACTTATGGCCTGTTTCTTAGCCAAATTAAAAAGAAAGAGATGGACTATTATGAAAGGGTTACTTAAGTTAAAAAGAGAGAAATGCCATTAAAGAATGCCGACGATATTCTTATAGGTCGGTAACTTACTGTGTACCATATGTTATGATTTTTAAATTTACACCGAACCTGTGTTGTATTAGGGTTTGGTTAAAATTTACTAGGTATCATAAGAATTTATATAAAACATACATACAGCAACAAATCGTTAAACGTTATTTCTATTTTTCTTTCATACCGGATGTATGTGTGTTTTCTCCTCCAACAAGGCATGCATGATATCTGAATATATTATTATTGTATTGTTTATATTCTTAAATTAAAAATTAAAGTAGATGCCTTATTGCGAGTATAGGTTTTTATCGGTTCATTAGTTTTTATATGTAATTAACTTAGAAAAAAATGTTGCCTGTGAATGAGTCATAAAGGCAGCAAAACGTGGCTGTATAATACACCGCGATCTGATCGGTTCTTTTTAAATACTCTTAAACCTTTAATTCGTCTCCAAAATATATACGACTTTCCGATGTGTAAGTCTGGCTTAGTGTCATAAACGATTTTTCGATATGCACAGTACATTGCAAAATATTTGTTGGATGTGAAACGATGATATTTTAACATAATCTCTTAGGTTATTTTTTGGAAATACGTTATTTTATTGTATATAACATTATGAGAAACAACGATAGCGTCGTAGCCTCGTGGTTTACAACTCTACGACGTTTCAAACCTCGCGGACTTTTCGAATACTGTGTGCTAATTTGTAGTTGTGACTAGCTCTCCGGTAATAGAAACATCAACATCATATAAATATTTTTAGAAAAATTACATGCCCGCTACGTTGGATTTAAATATACCTAGTAAAATATAGAAACTACAGTACATCAAGTGTTGGGTAGTCGACAATAGCTGACAATGCCTCTAATTACCCCATCAGGGCTAAATAGTCGCAATATTACATTATTAATAATTCATATGAAACAGTACCTAGCCCGTATTTTAATTAACCTATGTTATTCTACTAAATAAGAAACTT